ACAACAGAAATGAACACTCACCGGTCATTAATATCCCTTAATATCAATGGACTCAATGGACTCAATTTACCTATTAAAAAACACATGAGCTATGAACCAATAGCTGAGGAGCCCCCAACTGGATCAGGCCCTCTGGATAAGTGAGACAGTTGATTAGCTTGAACTGTTTGGGAGGCATCCAGGCAGTGGGACCAGGACCTCTCCTTGGTGCATGAGCTGGCTGTTTGGAGCCTGGGGCTTATGCAGGGACACTTTGCTCAGCCTGGGAGGAGGGGATTAGACCTGCCTGGACTGAGTCTACCAGGTTGAGCTGAATCCCCAGGGGAGTCTTTGCCTTGGAGGAGATGGGAATGGGGGGTGGACTTGGGGAAGGTGGGGGGTTGCGGGAGGGGGGAGAACAGGGGAATTTGTGGCTGATATGTAAAATTAAATTAAATTGTAAAATTTAAAAAAATAAATAAAGTAAAAAAAAAGACACAGGCTAACAGAATGGATACAAAATCAGGATCTATCCTTCTGCTACATTCATGAAACACATCTCATCGTCAAAGACAGACACTACCTCAGAGTAAAGGGCTAAGAAAAGACTTTCCAATCAAATGGACCTAAGAAACAAGCTGGTGTAGCTATTCTAATATCTAACAAAATAGACTTCAAACTAAAATCAATCAAAAGAGATCGGGAAGGACATTATATACTCATCACATGGAAGATCCACCAAAATGAAGTTTCAATTCTGAACATTTATGCCCCAAATACAAGGGCACCCACACATGTAAAAGAAGCATTACTAAAGCTTAAATCATACATCAAACCCCACACATTAATAGGGGAAGACTTCAACACCCCACTCTCATCATGGGACAGATCTGCCAGATTGAAACTTAACAGAGAAATGAGGGACCTAACAGATGTTATGACTCAAATGAACTTAATAGATATCTACAGGACATTCCACCCTAACAAAAAAGAATATACCTTCTCAGCACCCCATGGAACCTTCTCTAAAATTGACCACATACTCAGTCACAAAGCAAATCTCAACAGATACAAAAAAATTGGAATAACCTCCTGTATTCTATTGGACCACCATGATTTAAAGTTAGATTTCAACAACAACAAAAATTACAGAAAGCCTACAATCCCATGTAAACTGAATAATGCTCAACTAAATTACTAATGGGTCAAGGAAAAAAGAAAGAAAGAAATTAAAGACTTCCTAGAATTCAATGAAAACGAATGTACTACATACCCAAACTCATGGGACACTATGAAAGCAGTGCTAAGAGGAAAATTCATAGCACTAAATGCCCACATAAAGAACTTGGAGAAATCTCACACTTAGTGACTTAACAGCACACCTAAAAGCTCTAGAACAAAAAGAAGCAAAGTCACTGAGGAGGAACAGACACCAGGAAATAATCAAATTGAGAGCTGAAATCAATAAAATAGAAACAAAAAGAACAATACAAAGAATCAATGAAACAAAGAGTTAGTTCTTTGAGAAAACCAACAAGATAGACAAGCCCTTATCCAAACTAACCAAAAGGCAGAGAGAGAGCATCCAAATCAACAAAATCAGAAATGAAAAAGGAGACATAACAACAGACAATGAGGAAATCGGGAGAATCATCAGGTCATACTTCAAAAACCTGTACTACACAACATTGGAAAATCTAAAAGAAATAGACCATTTTCTAGATAGGTATCACATACCAAAGTTAAATCAAGACCAGATAAACAATTTAAATAGACCAATAACCCCCAAGGAAATAGAAACAGTCATTAAAAGTCTCCCAACCAAAAAAAAAAAAAGCCCTGGACCAGATGGTTTCAATGCAGAATTCTACCAGATTTTCAAAGAAGAGCTAATACCAATACTCTTCAAATTGTTCCACACAATAGAAACAGAAGGAATGTTACCAAACTCCTTCTATGAGGCTACAGTTACTCTAATTTCCAAACCACACAAAGATGCAACAAAGAAAGAATTACAGACCAGTCCCCCTCATGAGCATTGATGCAAAAATGCTCAATAAAATATTGGCAAACCAAATCCAAGAACACATTAAAAAAAAGTATCCACCATGACCAAGTAAGCTTCATCCCAGAGACGAAAGGATGGTTCAACATGCAAAAAGCTGTCAATGTAATACACCATATAAACAAACTGAAAGAAAAAAAACACATGATCATTTCATTAGATGCTGAAAAGGCAATGTGTAGAAGACTGCAAATAGATCCATATTTATCACCATGCACAAAACTCAAGTCCAAGTGGATCAAAGACCTCAATATAAAGCCAGTTACACTGAATTGATGGAAGAGAAAGTAGGAAGTAGTCTTGAACACATTGACACAGGAGACTACTTTCTAAATAAATAAATAGTTTCTAAATCAGCAGCTCAGACACTCAGAGGAACAATTAATAAATGGAACTTCCTGAAACTGAGAAGCTTCTGTAAAGCAAAGGACACAGTAAGACAAAATGACAGCTTACAGGATGGGAAAAGATCTTCACCAACCCCACATCTGACAGAGGGCTGATCTCCAAAATATATAAAGAACTCAAGAAACAATCCAATTAAAAAATGGGCTACAGAGCTAAACAGAATTCTCAAAGAAAGAATCTCAAATGGCCAAAAGACATTTAAGGAATTGTTCAACATCCTTAGTCATCAGGGAAATGCAAATCAAAATGACTCTGAGATACCAACTTACACCCGTCAGAATGGCTAAGATAAAAAACACTGAAGACAGCTTATGTTGGAGAGGATGTGGAACAAGGGGAACACTTCTACACTGTTGGTGGGAATGCAAACTAGTACAGCCACTCTGGAAATCAGTATGGCGGTGTCTCAGAAAACTAGTAATCAATCTTCCTCAAGACCCATCTATATCACTCTTGGGCACATACCCAAGGAATGCTCAATCTTACCACAAGGACACATGTTCAACTATGTTCATAGCAGCATTATTTGTAACAGCCAGAACCTAGAAACAACCTAGATGCCCATCATCTGAAGAATGGATAAAGAAAATGTGGTGCATATACACAATGGAGTACTACTTGGCCGAGAAAAACAATGACATCATGAAATCTGCAGGCAAATGGATGGAACTAGAAAATATCATCCTGAGTGAGGTAACCCAGACTCAGAAGGACAAACATGGTATGTACTCACTTATAAGTGGATACTAGATGTAAAGCAAAGGATAACCAGACTACAACCCACAACTCGAGAGAAACCAGCTAATAAGGTGGATCATCCTGGGAAGGGGAAATAGATGAGATCTCCATGAGTAAACTGGGAGTGAAGGTTGGGCAATGGAGAGTAGGGGATAATGGATGAGAACATAAGGGAACAGGATGGTCGAGCTGGAACAGGGATGGAGTAGGAAAGAAATGAAAGAGATACCATGATAGAGGGGGACATCATAGGGAGAGGGAGAAACCAAGTGCTAGGGAATCCCCAAGGATGACCTCAGCTTGAACTACTAGCAATACTGGAGAGGGTGCCTGAACTGAACTGGCTTACTACCCCAGTAACCAGATCAGTGAATACCCTAACTGTAATCACAGAGCTTTTCTCCAGTGACTGATAGAAGCAAATGCAGAGATCCACAGCCAAGCACCAGGCAGAGCTCCAGGAGTCTGATTGGAGAGACAGAAGAGAGTTTCTACGAGCAAGTGCATCAGGATCATGGTGGGGAAACCTGCAAAGATGACCAAACCAAACTGATGGGAACTCATGAAAGTTGGTTCACTGGCTGTGGAGCCTGCATGGGACTGGACTACGCCCTCTGTATGGTGAGACAGTTGTGTAACCCGATCTGTTTGAGGGTCCCCTGGCAGTAGGATCAGAATTCATCCCTGGTGCATGAGGGGGCTTTTTGGAGCCCACTACCTATAATGGGACACCTCGAGAAGCCTTGAGGCAGGGGGAGGGGCTTGGACTTGCTTCTACTGGATGTGCCTCCCCATGGGAGGCCTTGCCTTGTTATGGGGAGGAGTGGGGGCATGGGTTGGGAGGGGAGGCTGGGGGGGGGATGAGAGGAGGGAAGAGGAGGATCTTTCATTGGTGTGTAAAATAAATTTAATTTTTTTCTTAATAAAAAAATAAAATAAAATTTCACTTAAGGGGCTGGGGAGATGGCTCAATGAATAATGTGCTTGCCTTTTAAGCAGGAAGTCCTGGGCTCAATCCTTACAACCATCATAAAATTGGGTGTAAAGTAGTATGCAAGTGTACTCGGATCGCTGGGAAGGCAAGGGCAAGAAGATTCCTAGAGCTCATTGGCCAATGAGGTGAGCCTAAATGGTGGCTCCAGGCCAATGAGAGACCTTGTCTCAAAGGATGTGGACAGAATTCCTAAACATCAACACCTGAGCGTCCTCTGGTCTACACACACACACACACACACACACACACACACACACACACACACACCACTAAAAAATAAATAAAATAACAGAATCAGCAAGATGTGTAGCTCAGTGGTAGAAAACTTGTGTAACACATACAAGGCCTGGTCTTCAACAAGAGTACTGCCCAAACCACAAAGACAGTCTATAAACAAGAACAGAACACTAGAGATTTAAAGGGGGGGGTGCACATTATTTCTCTAAAGTCATTTCTCACGTGAAAGAGATGTAAAACTCTGAGACCAGGTCTCACAATGCTAGCCTCAAACTTTCTATAGAGTCCAGGCTAGTCTCCAGCTACAACAGTTTTTAACGACTTTCTGGTAGAATGGAAGAAATCAAATCCTGGAAGAGATAGAAAAAGGAGTTTGTGTGTGCAGGGCACACAGAGACATGGCCATGAGGAGGCCAGGGGTTTATGTCGGGTGTCTTTGTTCATTACTGTCCACCTTATTTCCTGAGACAGAATCTCTCACTGAACCAGGAGCTCTCTGATTGAGCAAGGCTGGCTGACTAGTGAGCCCAAGAGGAATAAGTGGGAACCCAGAAGAACAACACCACACAGGGAGCCTGCTAGAGTGATTTCACTTTAAATTTAAGTTGCCTTAGAGGCCTTGGACATCACAAGTCTTGAACATCACTTAACATCATTCTCAAGGGCTCCCAGGCGTCTCTCCTGAGAAACTGTCCTTCATTTCTATAAATATCCCTTCGGATGTAACAAGCCAGGCACAGTGACCCACTCTTCTAATTACAGCACTGAGGATAATGAGGCCAGCCTGGTCTGTGCTGTGGGCTCCAAGCTACTAAAAGCTACGTCGTGAGACCCTATCTCAAAAACGAAAGAAAAAAGAAAACTGTCGAGTATGCTTAGGTGACAGATCCTCAAAGCTGCAGGTAAACATCTGTGGTTCCCCATCTCCAAAAGAATAAGTCCATGCTTGAGCTTGGGTGCGACTCCCATCAGCCTACAGGTCCTGTGGATGACCCAGGAGGAAACCAGCCCCACCTCGTCTCATCCAGGCCGCCGGTGGTTCTCTGCTGTCCTGCAGCGCCCCCTACTGGCTCTCGGTGAGGCTCCCCTTATTCGGGATCCTCTGAGAAGGGTGGGTGGGGCAGTTCCAGGCCCAGTCACTGAGCGCCTATGCTCAGCGGCTCCACCCGCAGCCACAGCCCGCCCTCTGCGCGCAGGATCAGCTCCGGCTTCCGGCGCGGCTCCTTGTGGTCCGGCAGGACGCGGAAGCGCAGCAGGGTGAGCGCCAGCGCCACCTTCATCTCATTCATGGCGAAAGTCTGTCCTATGCAGTTCCTGCGGGAGAGCGGGGTGGGGACTCTGTGTCCGGACCCAGCCAGGCCCCAAGGTTTGAACTTGGCCAGGTCTCTGTCGCTCCCGGGCAGCCTGAGGGGCAGCAGGGGCTCTGACGCTCCTGGGACCCCGAGTCTTGCATCCGCATTCCCGAAGCTGTCTCAGAGTCAGCCAGCGCCCAAGACGGACCAGGGCGAATCTCTGAGCACAGAGCTTCACCACCCTTCACCTTCCAATCCCGGCTCTCTAGACCTTTGCACATACTCTGAGCAGAGGGTGGGAAGGAGACCCAGAACCTAACCACCCCAATTCCCCTTTCCCCGCTGTCAGGCCCAGGTCATTCTCTATCACCCTAAGCCCTCTGGCCTCACCTGGGCCCGGCAGAGAAGGGAATAAAAGCCAGAGGTGACCTCTTCTGAGGGTTTTCTGGATCAAAGCGGAAGGGGTCATAGACCTGTGGGCCAAGCAAGACTAAGCTGATGGGTCGTGTCTCTCTGCACACCCAGCCAGCCCCAGAAAAGATGGGTATGGGGACAGGAGAATGACAGCCTCTGGGTGTCAGGTAGTACCATGCCCCTCTCCCAGGTCCCAGATTGGGGGCTGGGCGGGGTCGCACCTCAGGGTCTGGCCAGACTGAAGGGTTGTGATGAACCCCAAAGATGCTGATGATACAGTCGTTCCCTTTGGACAAGAAGGGACAGTCAAGAGGAAGTCAGCGCTGTCACTGGGGACCACCAGGAGCCACCTCCCCATTCAGTCCACACCTTTAGGGATGACCCGGCCATCTGGGAGCACAACGTCCTGGGTGCAGCAGCGGGAAATCACCGTGACCGGGGGATGCAGCCGCAGACTCTCCTTGATGCACATGGTCAGGAAGGGCAGCTGGGCCAGATCGTCCCTGAGGAACCACAACACAGTTATCCAGGGAGTAAAACAATGCCCTGGCCTGCTAGATGGCTTGGCCTTAGAGGGCTGGCACCCACGCTTGACGACCTGAATTCAATTCCCAGACCACGCAAGATTATAGGACAGAACCAACTCTCAAGAGTTCTCTTCTAACCTCGACACAAGCACCGTGGACTCTGCATGTACACACACACACACACACACACACACACACACACACACACAAACAGTACTGACCAGTCTCCCTGCTGCTTGTTGAAATTCTTACTGCCCCCCTTTGATCGTTAGTCCTATAACAAAATTTACTTAGATGAATCAAAATTACTTGTTCATTTTACCATTTTTATTTTTATTTATGTGTGCATGTATTGTGTAGGCCAGAAGTCACCTTTGGGAATCTTCCTCTCTCCCTCTATGTCTTCTGTTTTGCGATAGTGTCTCCCTGAATGTAAGAATGTTTAGGGTAGACTGGCTGGCCAGCGCAGTCTGATCTCCTGCTCCCTGAGCTTCAGTGCTGGGGTAACCTTTTACATGGATTCTGGGGGTTCAAACTGAAGTCCTTATGCTAGCAGCAAGCACATTACCCACTGAGCCATCTCCCCTGCGCTGTCTTACAGATTTTACTTTCCAGACAAGGTGTCATCGTGCAGCCTTGGATACCCTAGAACTCCCTGTAGACCAGGCTGGCCTCAAACTTAGAGATCCACCTGCCTCTGCCTCTCAAGTGTTGGACTTAAAGGACTTGTGCCACCATACCTGGCTATATGTTGTTTTGTTTTGTTTTGTTTTGTTTTGTTTTGTTTTGTTTTGTTTTGTTTTGTTTTGTTTTGTTTTGTTTTGTTTTGTTTCTAAACAAGGTCTCCATATAGCCCATGCTGGCCTTGAACTCCCTATAAAGCTGAGGATGGTTTTGAACTGATCCTTCTGCCTCTGCCTCATGAGTGCCGAGAGAAGAGGAGTGAGCTACCACCCTTAACTCTGAATCAACGATTAAACCATTAGAAAATCAAAAGAAAAAAGAAAAAAATGGATAAATTTCCTTAATATTTTTAGAAACATTTCTAATAAAAACATACTTATCAAAAGATATCTTTACAAAAAAAAAGAATATCGTTAAATGCTTTCATATATTTATATGAAAGACCTTTAAAAAATTAAATGGCAGCAAGATTCAGAAGGTGGAGGCAGGAGGATGAAGACCAGCTTAGTCTATCCATTGAGTTGAAAGCCAGCCTTAGCTTTAGGAGACTCCGTCCCAACAAGGTTAAGAGTTCTCACTGCGATTCTAGAGGAGCTGATCTCACTTGCTAGCACTCACACAGGGCAGCTCACAACCACCTGGTACTCCAGCTCCAGGGGGTTTACACCGTTTGGCTCTCGAGGGCACCCACACTCATGTGTACATACCCACAACCAAACATATAAAATAAAAATAAATCTTTTTAAAAGTGAGTAAGTAGAAATAAGTGTTTGCCTGTGCTGACTAGAAGATGGAGTTCTCCATGACATCTGAAAAACTGGACCTCTAACATTCCTTACCACATCTAGCATTTCCAAGACCTGTCACTTCTTTAAGGTGAGATTAATGTTAACTACGGCTGGGCTAGTATGTGGAGTGCCACTAACCAAGTGCAATTCTGAACCCACTCACCAATTCTCCACCTGCCCCGCCCATCACCAGACTGATTCAGGAGGACAAAAAACCTACAAAGCATAAGAGACACTTTTTGTGACAGAACACCAGGAATTCTTAAAACTCCAAAAACTTGAACTTAAACACCAGAAGAAAATGTCAGTATATTATTCACAAAATTGAAGAATCTGTATGTCATAAGATACCATGAACCACAATAGTATTCAAAGGAGTCATTCAGGGTTGTCTACAATCCTCTGTCTGTCTGTCTGTCTATTATGATATGTGTGTGAGTGAATGTGAGCGTGTGTGTGTGTGTGTGTGTGTGTGTGTGTGTGTGTGTGTGTGTAATTTCATGCAAATCAACAAACAAAGGACACATAATCCAAGAGGAAAGTGGAGGATATGATCCAGGAACCCTCGGGGGTCATACAGTAGAGATTTAGGAAGTGACGGCCAAGCTGGTCAGGTGATTCCAAGAGGTAGACACAGGAGAAGAGAATGGTGAGTTCCAGACCAGCCTGAACTATATAACTAGACCAAAAAAGTCAAAGGTAAAGCCAAGGAGGTGGCTCTTCGGGTAACAATACTTACTGCTGATCCTGACGACCTGAGTTCAGTCCCTAGAACCCACAGTAGAAGGAGAGGCCAGTTTCTGAAAGTTGTCCTCCAACCTCCACATGCGTACTTGGCACATGCACACCCCCGACAGAGACAGTCACACACAAATAAATAAGTCAATGTAATTTTACAAATCAAAAATAGCAACTGCCATTCTGGATCTCAGCTATGTTCATGGCACTGAACCTATGCTCACCATTCAATCTCCTCAGGCTCTCGGTCCCTCAGCAGCTCCCGCACCTCCTGCCGGCAGCGCTCCTGGTATTCCGGGTGTCTCGCCAGGTTGTACAGGATCCAGGAGAGCGCACTGGCTGTGGTGTCATGGCCTGAGGGGCAGACAGGAAGGACTGGATGTCTGGGCTGTTTTAGCACCTCAGAGTAAACAGTACTTGGGCATCCATGTCCCAAGGAAAGATGAAGAAAGGATGGATGGATGGAATGGAGGGGTCTGGTGGCTCCCCACGATATCTAATTGGGATTGATAGCCTCTTATCATCATTGCAGCCCTACACAGGGGTCCTCACCTCCAAACATGAAGGTGTCAGCCTCTGCCCGGATGTCCTCATCTGACAGCTCCTTTCCATGTTCGTCCTGAAGACAAAACAGGACCCTCAACTCATTCCATGCCTGAGAATTCCTGATGCTGACCTAAGACAAGTTCTGATCCCATTGTGCACACAGAATGCCTTCTCTAACCTTTCCAGAGCCTGTCCCTGCAGTTTCCTCCTTAATTTCCTGCTGTTGTTTGTCCTTCCACACAGCATTCAATGGAGTCACTTCTAAAACGTCTCTGTGTCCTGTCCTTAGTTATTATAAACACCATCTATTGCTTCCCAAATGCCCTCTTAATCTAACCATCTTCCACCTAACACTTAATGTCAAAGTTCTTGGTTAAATTCTCAGTTGAGATCCCACAAAAGCCCACCTTGGCCAGCAGGAGCACATCGATGAAGTCTAAAGTCTTAGACCTTGTCTTGGCCTTGAGGAAGTCATCAACACCCTGGCTAGCAAGGTTACTACGCCTCTCCTGAATGACAGCATCTGTGAAGTTGTGCACCATGTCACAGGCCTTGCGGAAGCGCCTCCCATCAGGAGTGAGGTAGTACAGGAAGTCCATATACAGGATAACCCGATGGTGCCGTTTCACTATGAGGGAGCTGAGCTCCAAAATGGCAGCAATGTATTCACTCGGAGACCTGCAGGGCAGGGGCAGGCCAGAGACGGGAAGCAACATAACACACATGAAACCCCAGAGAAACTTCAGCCAGAGTCTCAGGACCAAGATCTGTCCAGAAAAGGGCTTAAGCCAGGCAGAGATCTCCTGCTGCCTACTCCGTATGAGTAGCCTGGCACCCCAGGATTTGAAGGTAGATGTGGTTGTCCCCATCTTTTTTTCACTCAGTGTCTGCTCTGTTTTTTCTTTCCTGATTTCCTGCAAGTCTGTCCTGTCAAGTTCATGTCCTCCTCTTCAGGTCCCTTGCGTCTACCTGACAGTCCTCTACTGAGTCAGTTGACCAATCTCAGCTGTGACTATGACTCCCAACTGCTTAAATACCTTCCATGACTCCTCGGAAAACCCAGAATGGAGTTCATGCCCTTCTTTCTGGGTATACAACATCCTTAAGATCTGCCCACTAGATAGACATGATGGCTTCTGACTGCAATCCCAACATCCGGGAGATGGAGGCAGGAGGATCATGAGTTCAAGCCCAGCCTGAAGTACCTACTCAATTCCAAGCTAGCCTAAACAACATAGTAAGATACCATTAAGAAAGAAAAGGAAGGAAGAAATGAAGGGAGGGAGGGAGAAAGGAGGAAGGTTTGAAGGGAAGTGTGTCCCAGAGGCTCGTGTAGTGAAACACTTGGTGCCCAGTTGATGGCACTTTCAGGGTGAGAGCCTTGGTGGAGGAGCGGACCTGGAGAACTTGTAGCCTCGTCCCACCTCCAGTTTGTGCTCTTTGCTTCCTGGGTGCAGCTGAAACGTGATCAGGCAGTTTCCTGCTTTGGCAGCCAGCTACCCTGCCTTCCTTGCCATTATGGACTTCCGTTTTAGAACTGTAATCTAAAATACCCTGTTCCTTCTAGACCATCACAGTATTTTATAACAGCAGCAGGAAGGTAAGTAATACAAAAAGGCAATGGGGAGCACTGTGAACTCTGTGTCTGAGAGAAAAAGAGAAGCAGGGAGCACTTTCAACTCCCTGTGATTGGGTTGTTTTTTTGTTGTTGTTGTTTTGTTTTTTGGAGTCTCTTTTCAGGGGGAGTAGTTCCGAGACAGGATCTCACTGTGTAACCCTGGCTGTCCTGAAACTCTCTTTGTAGACTCCCTGTGATTACTAACCTTGATGTTCAGCTTGATTAGATTAAGAAGTGCTTAGATTAAATCGCTTATTTTCAGTGTCTTGCACATGTGTCTTGTATGTACATTTCCATGTAGTTGCACTGGATTGCAGATATCAGTCACCCTGGTTTTGCTTTGATGGGGAGCTAGGGATGGGAACTCAAGTCTTTGGCCTTGCATGGCAAGCACATTACTGACCAAATCACATCCCTAGCCCTCATAAAGCACATCTCTGTGTTCGTCTATGAGGATGTTTCCCAGAGCATTGGCTGAGGGGTAAAAGCCCACGCTGATGTGGACAGTCTCATCCCACAGGCTGGAGGCCAAGAAGGAAGAACAGGAAACAGAAGAGGAAGCTTGCTGGAACAGACCATCTCTCCCTCTCCACTTCTTGTCCTTCTTAATGCGAGAAGCTCCATGATGCCTTCCCACCAACCACGATGAACTGACACCTTTGAAACCAGGAGCCAACACCAGCCTTTCCTTCTTCAGTTGTTTCTCTCAGATAGTGACAAGAGACCCTCTTTGCCTGTTTGATTTACTACCTAGCCACACCTTGCCTTTATCCCAACAATCCTACCTCCCTGAAAGGACAGCACCCACTCTCTCTCTTCACTGTCTTTCAATGCCTCCAGGGAGTCCCCTCTGCTCCCTCCAGCCAGTCTTCCCTCTCCAGCCTCCTCCCTTGGTCCATGCTCAGGCTCCCAGGCAAAGACAGTGACTCACTCCTGACAGTTGCTGTCGAAGCTGAAGACACATTTCTGCAGATTGTCCAACGTCATGAGGCTGATGTGCTCAAACATGTCCAGACGGGCACTGCCCTTGGTGGTCAGGCGCCGCCACTTGGCCTGGCCAGAGAAGGAAGCAGAAGAAGGCATTGGCTCCTGAGCCCCTCCTCAACTCCAAGCACTGGGGTTCACACACACACACACACACACACACACACACACACACACACACTCACACACACACACACACAGAGCACACTTGGTCCATAAGCCTTGGTGGGAGAAGAGAAGACGCAAGGCTGGAGTCAGGAACCTTACGTTCAAGTCTAACGTCTGTGTTCCTTTGGTCAGAGCATTTCCCTCTCCTGGTTCAATTAATTTGACCTCATCTGTTGTCCCACAAACCATACTTCAATGCCTGCTCCCCTCACACTTATTGCTGATGAACTTGGATGGGCTCCCTGACCTCTGTGGCCCCCAGTTTCAGAACGTAACTGTCATAGTCACCTTTTCTTCAGGATGGTGTGAAAATGACAACAGGCAACATAGATTATGGAATTGGCATAGCATTTATGATGTGGATATTACTCTGTATGCTGTGAATGTGTTGCTCTGATTGGTTAATAAGTAAAATGCTGATTGGTCAATAGCCAGGCAGGAAGTACAGGCAGAACAAGCAGAGAAGAGAATTCTGGGAACAGGAAGGCTGAGTCAGGAGTCGCCAGCAGACACAGAGGAAGCAAGATGTGAAGGCAGAACTGAAAAAAGGTACCAAACCACGTGGCTAAACATAAATAAGAATTGTGGATTAGTTTAAATGTAAGAGCTAGTCAGTGGCAGGCCTGAGCTAATGGCCGAGCAGTTTTAATTAAGATGAGCTTCTGAGTGATTACTTTATAAGCGGCTGCAAGGTCTGTGGGGCTGGGTAGGACCAGAAAAAACATCAGCTACATTATAGTAGGTACTCAGTAAATGTCAGCAGGTATGTGAGTACAGAAATTACGCCATACAGAGATGAAGAGATGGATCAGAAGTTAGGAGCGCTTGCTGCTCTTACAGAGGACCCAGTGTAATTCTCAGTACCTATACCGTGACTCACAACGTCTGTAACTCCACTTACAGAAGTACCAGTGCCCTCTTCTGGACTTTACAAGCACTAGGAATGCATAGTCATACATGCAGGCAAAACACCCACACACATAAAGCACATATATATTTAAAATATTTAATCTTAAAGAAAGTATCCCATACAAACATGTACACACACACTCACGTGCATGATGTTCACGCTCTTGTTAAAAATCTTCACATAGGGCTTCAGGATGTCAAAGTGGAAGGCAGGCGTCAGCAGATGACGATGGTGACTCCATTTCTCACCAGCACTCACCAACAGCCCATCCCCTAGAAGGGCAGCCATGGCAGTGAGCAAGGGTGGCACCTTTCTCCGGGCCCACAAGGGTGTCTCCTGACCCTGACCTTGAGGTACTCACCCAGCCATGGCTTCAGGAAGCCATAGAAAATCATCTCCTTAGGGGCCACCGCAGCTGCCGTGAAGGACGATCGGGGGGCCATGGAGAAGTGAAAGTTGAATTTGGGGAGTGGATGGGGACTCTCAGACCCAGGGCTGTGCACTCCCCCTCCAAGACAGGAAGGGGACAGGGACAAAGGAAGCAGGGAGGAGGAAGGAGGTGAGACAAGGGTAGACCAGGCTGCAGCAGCAGGGAGAGCCAACGTGAGCCTGACGCTGTCAGCCTGACGCCTTCATGTGGCTGCTACATAGTCCACCACATCCTCCATATCTGAACCCAGTACAACACCTTTATAAATGCCTTTATGGAGGCGGGGACACACTGTCTATTTCAGCTCTCTGACATGTCCTGACACACCCTGCCCCTTAGACAGGGGCACTGTTATGAACATATATGATCTTCCCTGAGATGATACAGTATGGTCCTGCACTAGAACACAACAGTCTGACATGATCTAATGGTGCCCATCAGATAACCCCAGGTAGAATTTAAATGTGTCCCATTCATGCTCCAGATGTGTCCTACACATGCCCCGGGGTTCCCAAGTATCCTCTTTTACACCATGCTAAGCATTGAGTCTTTAAAGTTAAGGGTTCCCCTGCCCTCCAAGACTGCAGGATGCTGCCCACTCCAACCATCAAGCAGCTCCAGGGCCAGCCAGACACAGCTGGGTCCATACAGATCTTCTCCTCCCTCCCAAGTCACTTTGCAGTTTAAGGCCCCTTTCATCAGAATTGGCTGAAGCAGCCCAGAATCTGGGTGGGATCCTGGTGTGCTATATTCCTCCTTCTGCACCAGTTTCCCGAACTCTAAACCTTTCTGCTCTGCTCAGCTCTCGTCTGCCTCATCTACTTCAGAACTCTGCTAGAAGGGATGCCATAGCCTCCATTCCTGGCAACAACCTCTCGAGAAGTGTCCTGATAAACAGATCTGATTACGCTAATGACCCCATAAAAATGATGAGTGATTGTAATGATGTTTGGCCACGCTATATTCTGAATCCTATGGCAAAATGACCATTAAGTGGATTTGTTTGTTTGTGAAAAAATAAATTTCTAGACCAGTGGGATTCGAACACATAGAGATCTGCCTGCCTCTGCCTCCCTACTGCTGGCCTTAAAGGAGTGCACACCACAACCAGCATATCTCCATATTTTTATTTCATTTCATTACTAGAGATGTTTTATCAAGGATCAAAAAGGTAGGGAAAGATCATACCTTAAGTATGTAAAAGGCCTTCATCTTCTAGCCTTTTATTTTCATTTTAAGAAAGTGCTGTCTGGGCGGTGATGGCACATGCCTTTAATCCCATCACTCGAGAGGCAGAGGCAGGCAGATCTCTGTGAGTTCGAAGCCAGCCTGGGCTATAGAGTAAGTTCCAGGAAAGGCACAAAGCTACGCAGAAAAAAAAAAAAAACTGTCTCAAAAAAAGATGGAAGAGGAGGAGGAGGAGAAGAAGAAAAAGAAGAAG